ATCAATACAAGTCCATGACAATACATGCTGAAGGGGGACCTCTGCTCCTGGCAGTGCTTGAGGTCTATAAGCCCAGGGCTGTAAAGGAGCTATTGCTGCCATAGAAGGAAGAGGGCAGCTTGTTCTCCAGTCTCTGACTGCTCTATGGGAAGTAGAGGTTATGGGAAAATTAGCATAGACATAGGAAGAGGTGCAGAAGGAGGGAAAACTGCTAAATCTGGGGAGCCAGGAAAGCATCTAGCAACTTATGCGAAGCTGGTCACTCTCTGGTTATTCTGCCTGCTACCCTCAAGTCATGCAACACTCCTTTGAGCAGATGACTAGAGCAGTGTAGAAATTGCAGGGGGAGGAATAGTGTGAGGTAGATTAGGATGAACCTTGCAGATGGGTGACAAAAGCAGCCAGGCACAGGAAGGGAGACACTTTGTGGTTATGGCAAACTGAGTTTGTGCCCGAAGATCCATTTGAACAGTCTTATGCTCCATTTGGAGGGGTGCAAGGACCTCATGAGAAGTTTTAAAAATAAATGCGCCTAGAGGGTGCACTTGGTCATTGCATAGATTCCCTTGCAGATTGGGTGGGGAAAGGGCCATGCTCCCAGTGAATTTCAGGGGTTTTTGTACTGAACAATTACTTTGGGACTGTTTGCATTGCAATTTATGCCTGCATATTATGAAAACTGCTGGCAAAATAAGAAATTCAGCATTATGACACAACTGTACAAACTGATTTTCCATCACATTTACCAACTTTTGATGTGAATAGTCTGCTACTAAAACATGATGACACAGACACTGTAGTAACATGATATCTGAAGTATCCATTAACTAATATGTAAATATAATGAAACACCTCCGGAAATCTAGTCAAGCGATGACCACCACCACTAATGCAATATTCATTATTTGTAAAGGCTATGTAGAACTCTGTGCTTCTTTCCCCCCCTGGTTCCCCTACCCCCCATGATGGCTTAGTTTAAGGGGGACTCTTCTTCCTTGTGGAAGGCTGTGTTATTTATAAAAACACCTGTTTATTTCTAGAGCCAAATCCTAGTGAAAAAAGTTCATATCTAAATGTAGATGTTTAATAGGACAGTGTTCTGGGGATATTTAGATTTGCTATTTCAGTTCAACTCGTTAAAAAAAATAGAAACTGGGTGTGAAATTTGGATTAAGTTTGGATTTTTAACCCCCAAAGCCTGGGAACTTTTGGTTCAGGTGTTCATATTTTCCTACATGGCCTAGTAGACAGAGCACTGGACTGGGACTCAGGAGACCCGACTTCTCTTCCGGGCTCCACCACTCGCCTTGCTGGGTGACCTTAGGTAAGTCTCTACACGTCTGTTGCTTCATCTGAAAGATGGGGATATTGATATTTGCCACTTTGAGATGTACTAATGAATAGGACTATCAGAGATAAGTATTATCAATCTCATAGTCTGTTTTCCCTGTGTATAACTGAACAGCACTGCTATTAAATTGCTATTGAACGGTTGCTTCAATGTTTGTAATTTCTAAAATTTCAAATAAAGTGGCTCATAAAAACATCATGTGAATAGGATTTGTCACTACTTCCTGGTGCATGGGTGAGGGAAGAGAGAGAATGTCCATGGGTTCTTCCAGGGCGTAGAAGTCATCGCTAGGTGTTGTGGCTCTGGGGCATGCTTTCCAGGCTTGCTTTTGATCAACAGTCACTGTGGTGCATCTCCACTGGCACTTTACATTAAAATCAAAACTTAAAAATAAGTTCAGCTGCTGCTCTAGATAGCTGTCAAAATGAGAGCTAGTGAGATATTGCATGAACTTGGCCCTACAGTATCTATCCTTAAATGATGCTGGTAATACATGGAAATACACTTCCTATGCTACTCAAGTAACCTTCCCTGCTGAAGGGGATGCCAGGGAGACTCATTTATGAATTCAAATGAAATCACGCTGATACTTCCCATCTACAGCTGAATTCATCCTGACCATGCCATGTGTTTTTCTTTGGCAAAAAAACTAAGCAGTGATGGGCCAACAGAAAGGCTAATACTGGCACACAGTGGAATACAGTTCAATAAAATGATACTCAAGTCCTTCCCTTGCTAGCTGCCCTTACCCATGCACAGATTAACCAAATTAACTCTGAAATGAAGAAGTGGCATCTTACAAAGATCTGCTAGCATGGTGCGAACTCCATGATCAGAGCAGACCCAGCAGCAGTGCACCATCTGGCAGTGGACAGAGCAAATTCCCAGTGCTGGTAACAGACTCTGGTTCTTTTTGGGTGTGTCTACACCAGGGGTTGGCAACCTTTCAGAAGTGATGTGCTGAGTCTTCATTTATTCACTCTCATTTAAGGTTTCACGTGCCAGTAATAAATTTTAACATTTTTAGAAGGTCTCTTTCTATAAGTCTACAATATATAACTAAACTATAGTTGTATGTAAAGTAAATAAGGTTTTTAAAATGTTTAAGAAGCTTCATTTAAAATTAAATTAAAATGCAGAGCCCCCCGGACCGGTGGCCAGAACCCGGGCAGTGTGAGTGCCACTGAAAATCAGCTTGTCTGCTGTCTTTGGCACGCGTGCCATAGGTTGCCTACCCCTGATCTACACTGTGTGCTTCTTTAGGCAGAGCGTAGCATACGTACCCCCGTAGCCTGCCTAGAACAACAGTGTAGCCATGAAGCAAGGCTTAGGTGTGTAGAGGACAGACACCGGAAGGACATGCGTATGTACTTGAGTACATACCTACGCAGCTCTCCACTCACCCAAGTAGTGCCTCCCCATCTACATGCTCTTTTTAGTAGTGTAATGCCCTGCTGCTGGAGTCTTTCCCCTGAAAAGACACCGGGGCAGAGGGGAAACACACTGGTGGGGGCAGGCAGGGATAGGGTTACCATATTTCAACACTGAAAAAAGAGGACACTCCACGGGGGCCCTGGCCCCGCCCCAACTCCACCCCCATTCCAACCCCTTCCCCAAAGTCCCCGCCCCAACTCCACCCCCTCCCCTGAGCACCCCGCATTCCCTCTCCTTCCTCCCGCCCCCTGGGCTCCGGCGGCTGCTGCACTGGGGAAGTTGCTTCGGCCCCGGCGCGCGGTGGAGAGCAGCGGGAGCCAGGAAAGTTGGAGCCCGGGGAGGAGGCGGCTGCGTGCTTGGATGCCGCTCGCCGCCTCTGTGCCCCGGCAGATCGCGGGAATTGTAAGTTTTGCTGCAGCCACTCGCACTCGGGGTCCCCTTACCATGCCTCCCTATTTTCCCAGACATGTTCAGCTTTTTGGAAATTCCTCCTGGACAGGGATTTGAGGACCAAAAAGCTGGACATGTCCGGGAAAATCCGGGCGTATGGTAACCCTAGGCAGGGAGGAAAAGCTGGGCCCTTCCTCACCACAGCGAAAGGCATTTGCAGAGGGTAGCTTCTGAAGCCTTTCCCCGCTGCCTCACCTCTGCCCAAGCATTTCGCTGACAGTTTTGGACGCAGTGTGCTTTTCACTGCGGCCTGTAGCTACACATACCTACATGCTGCCGAAAGGGGTCTGTGTAGTCTAGATGTAGCCTTTCGTGATAGTACTACTGTCTGCCAGTTCATATCTGGCCCAGCACTCAAACGTGCAGAAACCAGAGGGAAAAAAATCAGAGCTCTGACTGTTATTACTCAATGCTTCCGAGTTTTGAATGCAGACCTACCATTCAAAAGGGGTTGCTATGGGAGAAAGAAAGCAACAGAACAAATTCAGGGTTTTTTGCCTGGTCTCTGGGATTCACTCCTATATTGGTCTGTCAGCCGCTCTGCTGATCTCTGAGCTACTCTGCCTCCCACTGAGTCTGATATCAGGAGTGCAGAGCGGCTGAGAGATCAATGGAGCAGCTGAGAAAGCCAGCTGGCAGGGGAAGGGAGCAATGGATTGAAGGGGGATAAAGAAATAAAGGGAAAAAGAAAAAGATTTGTGGAATTAAACAGATGAGGAAAGAGCTGGGGAGGCCTAATCTCTCCCCCCCTTTTAAAAGGGCACAATAATATCCCATAAAACAGCCCTTTCTGGAGCTTTCTAGTCAGTTTAATGATGCAGCCTACTCTTCTACATCCTACATGAGCTGTTGGTTCCTCCCCTCCCCCGCTTTACAAAATGTTACTTTTCAAACAGTTACTACAAATTGCAAAGCATTCAGCTCTAAAGTCCCCAAGGGTGCTGCACTACGTAGCCTTCTGTTGAGATGATCAGAAACTAAATCACTGTCCATGGCCATGCCATATTTTTGTTGCTGTATTATTTAGCAATCTAATACTATTCTGATTTGGGGGAGGCTCGTGCATCTCGGATTTATTAAATATGCTCCCACAGCGCCTGCTGGGAAGCTTATACACTCTATTAATGCTCCGTCACACACCCATGTTCACAGCTGGGGACTGTGGAGTTGATCCTACAGCAGGACCAGTTCGGTTCTGCTCTGCAAAAGGCTGGAAGCCAGTAAGTTAGAGTTTGGGAGGACTGCAAAGGGTGCGAGCGTACCAGCTACCTCCCAGAACTTTGATCCTCGGGAACGCCTTTCCCAGTGACAGGCTGGGATGTGGAGGCAAGACAGGGATGATAAAAATCCTGTGAGTGGGGGAATTTTCCTCCTTGTGCCTTCCTGCATATCTATCCAATGCCCTGCCCAGCTATTCGGTCTGTCTGAAAATGAAGCCTCAATGCTAAATGCTCTTTGTAAAATCATGTATGGCTGTACATTACAGTTATAATAATACAGTTATCGGATTACTCAGGCACAACAGATGAAGTGCAGGGATATCAAGTATACAGCTAACGTACCCTCCTAGTTCAATGATAGTGTTGCCCAAAGGGGGACCACAAGGATGACTGTAGCTCCTATCCCAGTCACCTTTCCCTGCTGATTTTTTGGGTATGCATTTATATTGTCATCAGTGCCCCGGACCGAGAGAAAACAGATCGGTAAGATCACGACCATACGCATCATGTGCTAGCACACAAACTAACTGACATGTGTCACTTACGTTTTAGATAGCAAAGGAAACTGATGATCCGTTCCATATAATGAACTGGTCTCTGCCACACCTTAGTAAAATTCACATTGTGGGATGCCTCACGAGCAGGGGACAAGAGGACCATAGCACTAAAGCTGAGTGATTCTCTCTTCATGCCTCAACTGTAAACAAGAAAGAAACCTTGTAATTCCAGCAGAAGTAACATTTGTTTATGTTTGTGATAAAAAAAGTTTATTCAATTTCACATTCTCTATTTAAAAAAAAGAAAAAGAAAAAAGTGTTTTTATCCCAGTTCTCTGCTTTCTACTGTGGGGCAGCTGCTGTGAAATGGTCCGTTGTACTTGTAAGGGTGCTGTCAGGGCCGGCTCCAGGGTTTTGGCCGCCCCAAGCAGCCAAAACCAAAACCAAAAAAAAAAAAAGCCGCGATCGCGATCTAAAAAAAGCCGCGATCGCGATCTGCGGTGGCAATTCAGCGGGAGGTCCTTCGCTCCCAGGCGGAGTGAGGGACCGTCCGCCGAATTGCCGCCGAATACCTGGAACTGCCGCCCCTGTCCGGAACGGCCGCCCCAAGCACCTGCTTGAGAAGCTGGTGCCTGGAGCCGGCCCTGGGTGCTGTGAGGCCTAATTATTTCATACTTAGAAAGCGTTTTGAGGTCTGAGACATAAAGCAGGATAGAAGTAAACATCTATGACAAAACACCACCACATTCTACCAAAAAAAGAAACTTTGTGAACACCACAACTGAAATGCTGAGTGTGGAGCCGCTGATTGAATAGCGAGGGACTATCAGGAATATTGAACTGCGTTCAAATCATTGCAAGCAGATGCAGTAAGAGGAGGCTCAGTTGGATGTGCTGCATTTTGTACCTTTGTACAACAAATTTGGAGGAGAATACTGAGCTAGGGGAGTGAATAATGCAGCCATTCTGTCATGAAATGTACCAGGCTGATGACATCTCATGCCGTTGTACAGGACAGACAAAATGCATTTCCAGCGCTGACTGAGGAACTAAGTCTGTGAAGAGCAATCTCCTGCTGGAACATGGGCTTTATGGAACTGCACCACGTGGTCCACCTCTGCATACCAGTGAGTAGCAGGAAGGATATTTAAACAAGATAGTTTGGGACCTGTCCAAGTGCGGAGTGGCAGAGCTATCATCTAGCGGGCTCCTATTAACTAGCACAGCCAGGCTCCACAGCTGAGAAGCAGAGTGTATCTCCTGGAGGGGAGGAAGTGCTGGCTGGAAGGACAGTGGCTGTGACACAGAAGAGTGAGGTCAAATGGTTTGTTAACTGGGGAGCAGGGCGGGCTCTAGGTTTTTTGCCGCCCCAAGCAAAACAATTTTTGGCTGCCCCCGACCCCAGTCCTGGGCTCCCCCCCTCAGCCCCCTGCCGCCCCAGCCCTGGGCTCTCCCCCCCCACACACACCTCCTGCCGTCCCAGCCCTGGGGTCCCCCCCCCACCCACCCCCCGGGTCCCCCACCCACCCCCC